TTTTTCTATCTTATTTTTTATAATCACCAGAGGATACTTTCCCCATTGATTTTTAGAGAGAGTGGAATGGAGAGAGAGAGAAAAAAAAACTGATGTGAGAAGCACATTGATTTGTTGCCTCATTATTGAGCGTCGACCCCTGAACCAGGAGGTCACATGCCCGGGTTGCAGGCTCTATCAGCAGCAGGGGGTGTGCAGGATGCAGCCGATTAATGATTCTCTCTCATCATTGATGTTTCTATCCCCCGCCGGGTTCCCTTCCTCTCTCTGAAATCAATAAAAACATGTTTTGTTAAAAGATATGGATGTTTGGTGTTATACTGCCATCTAGTGGATATAAGTCAAAATAGTGCTTAGAGGTTGGGTATTGGGCTTTCTTCCATGACCTCCCGCTGGGAAGAAGGCAGGGAATTGGAAATTTTAAAAAGAACATTTTTATGTCATGCCCCTTTACGAACAAAGAAACAAATGTATAAATGAAGCAAAATACTCTAAGCCATAATAGTGATCCTAATAGTGTGAAATTCATGTTTTTAGATCACATATTTATTCATCTTCTTACTCCAAAGTTTACATATTTAATTGCTACATTTATATAAACAACCTAATTTAAAGAAGAAAGAGGCATTTTTATTTAATTAACAATATTGTTGTTATTATTGTTATCCCTGGCTGATTTACGTTGTATCAAGCACCACACTAAGACAATTAATCAAATTTATCAAATTTTAATAATTGAAACTTGAGGTGAAGGAGTTGGGCTTTTTGGTTCCTGTTTTCTCCAAGAATCCTTAAGTTCTGCTATCTGCTCACCCACCTTTCCCATCATTAACTTTCTAAGTTCTACATCTCTTTCATAGACCCCATTCATTGAAAGTAGCCCTAACTGGTTTGGCTCAGTGGATAGAACCTCAGCCTGCGAACTCAAGGGTCCCAGGTTCAATTCCAGTCAAGGGCATGTATCTTGGTTGCAGGCACATACCCAGTAGGGAGTGTGCAGGAGGCAGCTGATCAATGTTTCTCTCTCATCAATGTTTCTAACTCTCTATCCCTCTTCATTCCTCTCTGTAAAAAATATATATATATATTTTTTTTTTTAAAAAAAAAAAAAGAAAGAAATATATGCTCACTGGACATTTTCTGTTTGTTTTGTCATCATTCTTAATGAGAATATACATAAATCCCCATTATTTCTTTGCATTGGGAGAAAAGCCTAAAATCAAATAATACTTAATACTTAATACTCAAACAGTAAAAGAAAAGATGGGCAAAAGCAGAGCAAGAGAATACAATGGAGAGTGCCCTCGGGGGCCCCCGGATCTGTCTCTTGCTTCAACAGTGTTTGGACAGAACAGACCCAGGGACACCCCTTCTTCCAGCCTCAGGCCACTCTGCCGAGTCACCACCCTCAGAACCACCTTCCAGACCAGCCAACACACCGGGTTTTTTCCTACCTTCACTCCTTATTGCCCAACAGCCCTGAGCTCCCAAATTTGTCAGAATTATTCCACCAACGCGGAGGCTGCGGCCAGCCACTTGGCCAACCCGCATCTGCCCACCCCCCCACCCCGTCACACACACACACCTACCTCTCTCTGGGCTTCTGTTTCCACCTTGACGATGTGGCTCTCGAGGGCGTGGGCCGCTTCACCTGCGAGTTGGCGGAGAAGAAGCCGAGGGCGCTGAGCGTCTTAAAGACGCTAAACCAGCGCGGTGGCCGCATTCTCTCCAGGACGCGCTGAGGCCTCCCCAGATGAGGGGGCAAAACTCAGGACCATGGAAGCCACCCTGGCCTCGGAGAGGAGCCTGACCCAGGCCCTTTGGGAGCTGCAGGCCCTGGTTCTCCCCGCGCAGACCTCAGCTCTGTGACTCCCTGCAGAACCACTTCCGGGATGAGGAGGTGAAACTCATCAGGAAGATGGGCTACACCTGACTCACCTCCGCAGGCTGTGGCCCCCAGGCTGGGCTGGGCGAGTATCTCTTGGAAAGGCTCACCCCAAGCACAAGTAGGAGCCTGAGGAGCTCAGAGGCCTTTGAAGGGCCCCTCTGCATCCCCCTGGTGTCTGGATTTTCCCTGAGCCTCTCCCCGAAACTACTAGCCATTCTTTTAGCCACCCTGAAGCCTTCTCCCATGCCTGGGACCAAATGAAACAATAAAGCTTTTTGCAGAAAAAAACAAAAAAGAAAGAAAAAGAAAATACAATGGAGAAAAGTAATTAGAGATGGCAATATTAATATCAATATTGATATATATGAAAATGTGCTTAAAACCAAATCTTTTATTAGAGAAGTTTAAGCAGTTTGTATTTATTGTCATGCCACGCTCTCCATCTGTTACTGTAGGTCTTTTTTTGGTGACTCACTATCCAATGATGAACTGAGTCAAACTAAAACAATGAAAGAATAAAGATTTCAGGTAACATTCCTTCTCTGTGCTCCGGGCCCTCAGCTTTGGAGTCTTGCTCTGGCTAGTGAGTGATGCAATCCTTAACCAAAGACATCGCCTGGCCTTCTCGGTCCTGGACCATAATCCCAGGTCCAACTTGAAAGGGGAATCAGAAACTTAGCTCCAAGGGATGGAGGTGAAATTCAGCTTTTATGCTCCATTTACTTAGAACAATCCTCTGATTATTACAGGAAGGTTTTGAGCATGTCTGGGAAAAAATTACACTTCTAGCCTCATCACAAGCTACTCACCCCGCTGAATCTTCCTCCACCGAGAATTTTCCTCTGGCTCTAAAAACTTTGGTGCTGGGTGCTTGCTCCCTACCCCAACTGTGAGCACTCTGGCTGCCGCTTCCAGCCGTGCCAATATGTCCTTCTCCCTTCAGCCCACACACACAGTGCTCATTGTCATGTGATCATGATGCTACAAATCATGCATAAGCAAAAAATGAGATAAAGTATTTTTCTTACGTTCTTGATAGTATTTCAGATCTAACATGATTTCCTAGTAGTATTACACATTTCTTTTTAATTTTATTACACTCTCCTTGGGAAAATTATATAATCTATCTAGTACTAATAATACTGAAAATAGTATCTACTTCTCAGCTCAGGCATCTCTGGCCAGGCAGCGCCAACATGGAGAACAACAATGAGCCGCTGAAAGTCTCCCAACAGATATACTCGAAATGTCCTCAGGGTGAAGTCCTATCAAAGGGAACACACAGGATCCTGCAGATCTGAGATTCTGGGCCTTTCTTCAGCAGAGAACTAATCCATGAAATATTTTGAAAGGACCTTGTGCAGAAAGCCATGAGCGGAAAAACCAGTTTTTCAGAGAAGGGTCAGTTGAAAATATTTTATCCTCTTTAAAAAATGAAGAACTTAGAAAGAATGCAGATCTCAAATCAATGTAGAAGCTCGGGCTATTCAGTAATAATAAATGTCTGCTGCTTTTAGAAAGAGGGGGGTGAAATCCTTACCGTGTCATTTTTCTTGTCTTTCAGCATCAACACAGAGGCAGGAAGAGAAAGCTGGAGTTTTTTTTTTTTTTTTTTAAATACATTTTATTGATTTTTTACAGAGAGGAAGGGAGATAGAGAGTTAGAAACATCGATCAGCCGCCTCCTGCACACTTCCTACTGGGGATGTGCCCGCAACCCAGGTACGTGCCCTTGACCGTAATCGAACCTGGGACCCTTTAGTCCGCAGACCGAAGCTCTATCCACTAAGCCAAACCGGTTTCGGCAGAAAGCTGGAGTCTTAAAGGGTCATGTTCTGCGGCTGAATGCCAGGCTTTCCTGGATTAAACCGAACAGACCTTCATGGGGGCTCAGGTCCACAGTCACAGAGGCAAACAGTTCCTAGAACCAGGCCTTCGCAGGAAATAATGACTTTGGAAGGGAGCTTCTGAAGAGGGATAGCAGGCCTAGGACTCCTCCTGATCCCTCTTCTGGCCACCCACGGAAGTTGAGCAGTGATTGATTCGGGCCACAGGTCTTGGCCAGTAGGAGGTGGTGTGAAATGTAGTGGAAGGACTATTGGTTTTGGAGGCACACTTTCTGGGCCCTGCCTTTGAATATACCCCAAGCTGTTAACTTGCATAAGTTTCAGCTTCCTCATTTAATGAGTTCCGGCCTGCACACCTCACAGGGTCATTGTGATGATCGCTTGGGAGAATGTGTGTGAAAGAACTTTAATATGACACAGTGCTATACATTTGTGAACCTTACTATTATTGCATTGAAATTTTGACCTTGAATCCTAATCCCTAGGCCAGGGGTCCTCAAACTTTTTAAACAGGGGGTCAGTTCACTGTCCCTCAGACCGTTGGAGGGCCGGACTATAGTTTAAAAAAAAACTATGAACTAATTCCTATACACACTGCACATATCTTATTTTGAAGTAAAAAAACAAAACGGGAACAAATACAATATTTGTATTTGCATGTGGCCCGCAGGCCGTAGTTTGAGGACCCCTGCCCTAGGCATTCAGAATCTAATCTTGAAAGGGTTCATTCCCAATAGAACATTCTACTCAGCTTCCAAATTCGTCAGAGTTATTCCACTGAGGTGAAGGCTGCGGTTAACTGCCTGGCCAACCCGCATCTGCAGGCCTCCCACACCTACCTACCTCTCTCTGGGCTTCTATTTCTACACCAAAAAAAGTATATTTTTTGCTAATTTGACAAAAAAAAAATTAGGTACAATTTTGAGTATGCTATGCATATGTTGGGGCAGGGAGTATGTAGGAAATCTCTACACCTTCTCAGTTTTTCTGTGAACCTAAAACTGATCTAAAAAATAAAGTATATATTTCTCCAGGCTGGTGTGGTTCAGTGGTTGAGCGTTGACACATGAACCAAGAGATCACCAGTTTAATTCCCAGGCAGGGTACATGCCCTGGTTACAGGCTCAATCCTCAGTGGGGCACATGCAGGAGGCAACCAATTGATGTTTCTCTCTCATCAATGTTTCTACCTCTCTAGCCCTCTCCCTTCCTCTATCTCTCTCTCTCAAAAACAAAAAATTATATATATATATATATATATATATATATATATATATATGTTAAAGTATACATTTTAAAAATATATAAATTAGAACGCAGGCTTCTTTCGGTATGAAGATCAGCTCTTTCCAAGCAAGAGGTTTTTTTGAAACCCTAGAGCTAAATCTGCAAGACAGACTTCTGCATATATAAGAAGCCAGATCCCTAGACCTTGTTTCAGTCTTTATCCATCTTGGCCAGTAGGTGGCACCCTTCTCATACAAATTTTTTTAACAGGCCACAGAGTAAAATGGATCCTACTTTCTATTTCCTTTTTGCTACAGCTACTGTTACATCATTGCAACAGGGACATTCCCTTTCCAAAAACTTTCTCAGGGAGGGAAAAATCCTTTCATGTGAGAGTTTCCCTAAAGCCTAGAACTTTCACTCAACTTTTGCTTTCAATTGATGGCTTTGTACTCTGAAGGAAAAACTGACAGCCGGAAACCTTAATGAAAAAGGAAACAGTGGCATGAATGGGCAGTTACAGCGTAATGAGGAGTGAATGAAGGAAACACACTGGGGATTTCTGCTTGGCGTGAAAGGGAAAGATATGGGGGTGAAGGAGTGGGATCCAGAAAGCAGAGGGGAAGGGGAAATTGTGCCGGGTATCAGAATTATTAAATGAATACTGTATATAGATATGGGTATAACAGATGAGAGGTCCTCATCTCCCCCAGTTGCTAGTGGGGGTGGATTTCTTGAGACATCCCAAGAAAAAGAGACTCACACAGGAGGATGTGATATTGTAGAAAGCTGTCTTTCCATGGCATTATGTCCTTGAGTTTCCAAAATTCCATTTCCCTTTGCCCAGTCATGGAAGTGTAGCTAGGGTTTCAATAGCACTAGAATCAGTCTATGTCCAGAGTTTCCTTTCCATGTTAGAGCAGAATCCAATCCAGCATCGGGCTCGCATAATCTGTGTTCCCCACTGTAGTCCATCAGTCCATGGCATGTGGGGTCCACACGACCACATGGCTATCGAGGAAGCAGGGGAAATGCAAGGAAGCCAAGAGCATAAGAGCAACAAGAGAGAGAACTCCTTTGTTTAGAAGATTGTGTACTCCCAAATATTTGCATGCTTGCAGTGGCCACGCTCATTTTGGCCAATGATCTGTCCTCCGGAGTGACTGACACACAAGTATCTTCCCTAGGTCACCCCAACTTTACTGGACATGCATCTGTCCTTCCTTCGTTGGATCCCTTTCCCCAGTGTTATGCAGGGAATAGGCCAGTGGCTCCCTTGGGAGTGCAAAGTTGCAGCTTCCTGGTGAAACTGCGCAAATGACAAGCCTATAATATCTGACCTTCCCTTTGCTTCTGTCCTATTATTAATAACTAGCTGACCACAGTGGTATTACTCTCTCCCTTCAAGAACTTAAGCCTTGTAATCTTACAAGGAGATAAATGGGTGAATATCTCCATCTTCTTGTAATTGCTTTCTGCTGTCAAGGGGGCATAGTCCTGCCTATCCCAAGGCTCAGAGGTTCTTCCTGTCTGACTGAGGAAGGAGGAGCAAACGGGAAGGGGAGTCTTCATGCAGGGAAGAGGGATTCTGCAAAGTCCAGGTCAGCCTGGTGTCCCGGGAGGTGACATAAGCAATGTCCAGAGGATGACGCGACAGACAAGCTGGCATTCTTATTGTACCCTAGAAGTAATAAACTTGAAAAGAAGATTAAAAGGCATAATTCAAAAGTGAGCAGGCTTATGGCAACTAAAGATCTGGTGAGATGTAAACCCATGTGATAAAGGGAAATACTTACAGTGTTCCAGATGATTTTGGAAGAGCGGCTTCCCTGGAGGCCGGTGTGTCACACCTGTCTGAAGCCCTTCTGTCCATCGTACTAAAGTTAAGAGAAATATTCTAAGATTTCCCCCATGAGAAACTGTGAGCCTTTTCTGTCTGAACCATTTAGACAGAAAAGGGAAAGCAGTTTCAAGCGAAGCCAATAGACTGTCCATATTTTATTGGCTCAATTATAATTCCAAATTGTTGTTTCACTTTAGGACACAGTGATGCAGCTGGCTTCTAAAGTGAGGCTTATATTGTGTGAGTAAGCAATCAGGTAAATAAGGACATAGGCATACGTTTTATGAAAAGAGAAGAAAACAAAACACATAGCAAATTATAAACCATTTGAGAAGATTTCCAGATGTAAGGCTTTCGTTGGAATGGCATCAAGCAATGACAACCTGATGGATTATTTGTAATTTGTACATCTCTGGTGATGTCATCAGGTCTGAGTTCTGTGTGGCGTGCAGACATAGCCTTAAAAACAAAACTTGGAAGACAGTTCATTGTAGTGGAGTCCAATATCCACAATTGAGTATTGTGGTTTTTATTAGCATATAATTTTGCTCCCCGAGATTACTCTCATTTTTAGAAAGTCTGCAATAAGTCCAGTTTTAGTTTGGTCTTATTATTTGCATAAACATAAGAAGACTAGTAACTGATCAAATAGAGCACACAGCCCTGGATGGCGTGGCTCAGTGATTAGAGCAAGTATCAGGTGAAAAGATTTTCAGTCCCATTGTCTTAACAATGAACGGCCACCAGGGGACCTCGCCCTGGGATGGAGCCGATAACCAGCATCCCTCCTCCTCCCCAGCGCACAGCCACAGCGTGGAGGGGCGCTTTGGCTGGGGAACTGGCAGGGGGGGTGGCAGGAGGCAGAACTCTGGGTCTGCGAGCCACAGCAGCTCCAGTTCCCCCTCAGCGCCATGCGCCCACGAAATCCAAGCCTGCTGAGGCAGGTGCACTGTCAGGGCAGAAGCAGAGGAGACAGGAGGCAAGGGAAGAAAGAGTCTGGGGGTTCCTTGGCTCAGAACCCGGTACCGGTACCAGGTGGCTGTGATCCTGGTTTTAAGTCCTCATCTAGGGGCACGGGCTTGCTGGTCTCTCCCAGGGCTCAAGCAAGCTGGGGGCACTGGAGTTTTGGGTACCAGCAATGAATCTTAAGGCAGCAGTGAGTGCGTGCTGGCTCCCCATGTTCTGCGCTATTCTAGCACCCAATTTCATATTACCCTGCAGGGACTCCTAACCCTGGGGCTCAGCCAGCAAGGAGTGTTTAATGTTCTACATTAACTTAAATAAACAGTAATTTATCCAATTACATATTCAAATAAAAATTTATATACTTCAAAATACTACCGATATAATTTAAAATCATTCAAAACTACTAAATATTTTTGAAATTTTTAATTATTTTCTTAACATTTACTTTTGGGTACTTAACTTTTACTTTGCCTTCATAGCAGAAAATAATTTTTAACTTCACCAGCTGTTAGATATTCATCTAGATATTGTCAATAGTTTTTCTGTTTAGCATTGGACAATGAGAAGACAATTTAGACAAAATCATCAATTTGAATCTTTTATATTTTGAATTAAATCTAACTTCCCAAAGGACCTCTAGTGGTTTCAATCCAAGCCTAGTCTTTTCAAACAAAAGGAAACAGCTTTAACCTAAATGTGTAACTGCATAAACATTATCATGTGAGTAATTTTCAACTCTGACCCTGAACTCTTCTTTACTCTTTTTATTTTGCATAGGAAGCCAGGTTGCCTCAGCTTTCTAGATTCCTACTCTTTAAATCAGTGGTTCTCAACCTTCCTAATGCTGCGACCCTTTAATACAGTTCCTCATGTTGTGGTGACCCCAATTTCATTGTTACAAATTGAACATAATTAAAGCATAGTGATTAATCACAAAAACAGTATGTAATTATATGTTTTCCGATGGCCTTAGGCGACCCCTGGGAAAGGGTCATTCGACCCCCAAAGGGGTCGCGACCCACAGGTTGAGAACCACTGCTTTAAATGGTAGGTGCTAGTATCTGAATGTTAGTGTCCTCCCAAATTATTTTTTTAAATCCTATGCCTGGAGTGATGTAGGTGGGACCTTCGGAAGGTGCTTAAATTGTGAGGGCCCAGACCTCATAAAGGGGATTACTGCCCATACAAAAAAAAAAAGGCTCCCGAAGGTCCCTCCTCCCTTCTAGCTAGTGAGAATACAAGAAGTCTGCGATCCAGAAGGCCCTCTGACCATGCTGAAGCAATGATCTTAAATCTGTTATTAATAAGCTACCCACTTTGTGGTATTTTGTTATCAAAACCTGAACTAGACTAAAGCAGTAGGTATGAAGGAATCTTCAGCAAATCAGCTCATTAGAAACAGGACTCTGTCTTATTTGCTTTGTTATTTGCATATTTGAGGACTCAAGGAAAATGTCCACGTCTACCTTGAGTGGAAGAATGACGGAGCCCTTTCATATGGGCAGGGAACACAGAAACTGGAGCAGGGCCTAAGGGCAAGAAAGGCTAAAAATATATATTCAATTTTGGACATGTTCAGTGGAGGTATTCTAGGGTAGCCAGTAGAAATATGGGTCTCATGTTTGGAGACATGATTCTGACTAAGGATGTACATATGCCAGTCATAACCATGGAAATGACATTTGGAACAATTTGGGAGGTCGAGACTATGTGCAGAGAGGATGAAACGTGGCACCGAGCTTAGAACTGTGAGGAACACCAATAGTCCCTAAAATGAAAGGGGATGGTTAACAAAGGAGAGGGGAGGGTCAGGAAACCAGGCGATGGTGGCACAGAAGCCAGATGAAGGTCAGACTTCAAATAGAGGATGTGGTCAATGTCAGATGCTTCGGAGATGTCAGCCACACCCAGCTGACAGTGATCTCTGACCTGTTAGATGTTGCTTATTGTAAACCTTGGCTGAGCAGTTTCAGGTCCCTTCTAGAGCCTCTGGATTTCGGACCTCTGGCTTCCAGAACTTCGGACACTCCTCTGCAACGTTATTGCTCCCTGCTCACCGGGAAGCAATCACAGGAACCGAGTAGGTGCTCACGAGTTCTGAGGCCTCTTGGGCAGATCCTGCCCGCTCAAAGCCAACATCCCTGGTGCATGGGGAGCTCAGAGCTGAGAATGTTCTGGTCTGTGGAGAATTTCATCATCACAGTTTAGAATCTAAATCACAAGAAACTCAAGACTTACTTCCCTGCTTCCCCCTGATCCCTGGAGAGGCCTTTGCCACTGGACAAAGCACAAGGCAGCCAGGTGCCCTGGGATGTGCAGGTGGTGACCCCTGAGCAAGGGAGAATGGTTCCACGAAGCTTCACCCCACTTCATTATCATTTTATTTTTTATCTGATCCCAAAGATTTCACTTTGCTTACTCCCACCTCCCTAATGTATCACCAATGGATTTCATGTAACTCACTTTGATTGTAATGTATAAAACAAGATGCAAAACAGCCATTCTTCTTTATCTCAATCTATTGAGATTTTACTTCCCAGCATTTGTCGACAGTTTGACTCAAACTCACAAAAATTCTTCTTACAATGGTCTAAGTGAGAAAGTGAAGATTATTATTCAGAAAGTGGTGATGGAACATAGATAACAACTTGAAAACATACAGTAAGCTCCCAGGTGATGCTGATGAACTGGGGACCACATTTTGATTTTAAGCAGAATCTTTGCTCTAGCATTCACTGTTCTCAGCCTTAGCTGCACATTGGAATCACCTGGAATGTTTTTAGTCTTATTCCCCAAAGGTTCTGATTGACTTGGTGTGGGGTGTGACCCAGGCATGATTGATTTTTAAAATTTCTAATGTGTAGTCAGGGTTGAGAGTCATTATTGTAAATTTAGTCTTCCAAATGCTTTTTGATTGCTTTTTCCTCTCTTATGCCCATTACATGTACCTTTTTTTTTTTTTATTGCCTAGAGAATATAGGTCAGACTCCTTAGGATGGCTTACAAGGTCCTTTACAATCTCATTACATTCATTCATTCTTTCCAAAAAACCTGTTGATGATGATGGTTGCACAACAATGTGAATGTATGTAATGCCACTGAAGTTTCCAATTAAACATGGTTAAAATGATAAATGTTATGTGTACTTTACCACAATAAAAAAATTGAGCACCTTAAAAAAAAAAAAAGAAAACATACATTAAATTTTTTTATCAGAAGTCTAGTAAAGAGTCATATCCATAACAACAAAATACTAGGATAATTATACCACCTCATCACGGGAAAAAATTAAGAAAGCATTTTTAAAGTGATAAAAGAAAAACTAATGTCACTACATTACAAAAATAAGGTGTATGTTAATACATATACTAAAAAATGATGGGAAAATATTTGCTGTAAATAAAGATTAATATTCTTATTAAAATAAAGATTTCAATAAAAATTACTCTTCATTTCAACCAGAAAGAAAAACTATTAAACAGGACACAAGCAGTTAATGCCACTTTAGCATGTTAATTGGCACTGCCAAAGCAATAGGATAAAGGGCAAGGAATGTGACATCAGTACTATGTAAAAAAAAAAACACAGGAAAATTAACTCCAAAAGGTCAAAATGCAAAGAAAAAGCAATTTTGATCTCAAAAATTAACTGAATGGCCCTGCCTTTGTAAAACTGTAATACTGTTAGGGGTAGAAATACAATATTGGGGACTAGCTATAATTATAATATTAATCATGCTTTGTTAACCATGATTTTTCTGCTCTGATTAGAAAAAGCACATTCTAACCTGGCTGAGAGTTGTACGCTCTGGAACATGGGAGCTAATATCGAAATGCAGTCCATCCTCCTTTTCTGAGAACTGCCTAGATTAACAACCTTGTTGCTGAGATAATTTGGTCCCAGAGGCACCCACCCTCTGTGACCTCCCCAACCCCCATTGCCTGTAACCTGTAACCACTATATCTTGCCTACTTTTCCATGTAATCTTTGTCCCTCTAGCTGATTTGTGGGGAGGGGAGAGCATTATTGGAATAAACACTTATATATGACTCAACTCTATCTCTGTTTAATTGGCTCAAGTAGTGACAGACAGGCCGGACCCATTGGTTGTTCGGTTACAATACTGAGGAAGAAAATCAATGTGAACAAATGCCAGTTAAATTATATTTATTATATAAAGAGATCATATAACTTGATATGAAAAACAAGGCAACCCCAATAGGTACTACAAAGGCAAAGGACAAGAACATCTGATCAAAGGAAACAAATATTTAACCTCATTAATAATCAAGGAATAATTAGGATGCCATTTCTTGCTTATTCTATGCACAAGGCTAATTTCTATGCACAGCCATTTCTACATTTTCTATTTTCTAAATATACTCAAATGTGTTATTTTTAGTAATAAAAAACGGAGTCATTAAAAAAAAAACATAGAAGTATGAAAACTTCTGCCAATGCAGAAATCATGAAAAGCATTGAAATGAATCAACACTTGTATGGGCAGTGAAGTTCAGATCCCTGGAAGCCAAGTCCTTTTGCTGTGGTTCCTGAGTTTTATTATGGTATTGTCAATAATAAGAAGGATGTTCCTGACTTACACTATGACAATTTCCTAAGTATAGGGATATACACATACATATACGTGTATGTTAAGTGTATATATGTAAATTTTTTCTTCAGGTAGACATTCCAGGAAAGTACTTCAGAATTACTTACAGCCCTGGCCAGTGTGGCTCAGTTGGTTGAGCGTCGTCCCATGAACTGAGAGGTCACCTGTTTGATTCCTGGTCAGGGCACATGCCCAGGTTGTGGGCTCAATTCCCAGTAGGGGGCGTGCAGGAGGCAGCCGACCAATGTTTCTCTTCCCCTTTCCCTTCCTCTCTCTCTCTATAAAATCAATTTTAAAAATATTCTAAAAAAGGAATTACTGCAGAGGACTCCTGTGATTCCTTTTGCTGATAAGGTCCCATTAAGATCTCCCAAGGTAGTTCTCAACAAATAGGGATGCCTTGGTATTGAAGAACATGGAGATCTACTTTAGTACTGCCTGCAAGAGATAGCAGTGTCCTGCGCTTTCTGTAGCTGGCTCCTTAGGGAATCTGAAGTTTGTCCTGTCCTTTAGACATAGCCAAAAGGACATTTTTCTGATCTGATGCAGAACAGAGTTTATCTGTTGCTTACACAGATCATGGCTTGAGGCAGATCACACAAAGCTCAGGATGCATGGGAGGGAGCAGCACCAGGGCAGCCACCCCAAATCAAATAATCTTGTTAGAATGACTAAACTGGGAGACTGAATTGAAAATCATATAGCTTTGTTCAGCATGTTTCTTTCTTTGCTTTTATAATCATAAGTTTTACTGAGCTAAAAGGTAGAAAGTAGAGCCTAAATTTACTGAGCAAAAGCAATGCTCTGAAACCTGAGCTCTGCTAAGTAATCTGTATAAAAGCAACTAACTCTAAGAAAACAATATACAAGCAGAAAAAGTAATAAGTTTCATCTGGCAGGAACAACTTAGTCAAACGCTAAACTTGGTTGTCAATTCAATATGTTATAGTACTTATCTATTTCAATTCAGTCAGCATGACTATATAGACATTTATACTCTGATACTGAATTCCCATTTGAATAGGAATAGCTGCTAGGTAGAATTTAAATTTAAAAGCAATTACTCTCTACTTGAAGTGCCAATCAATTTAAAAATGAGATATGTGCATGTATATTTATATACATATGTATGTATGTATGTACATATGTATTTGTGTGCATTTTCTCTTTTTCTCACTCTCTCCAGAAATACAAACTCTGACTTAGGGCTATACTGATTTTTTTTTCAAGTTAATATTTCTGAGTTTATTATTTCTCCTGTCTGCCTAAGAAACTTCACATATTCTGAATACACCCACACAATCTAGTGAGTTGGCAGCTATGTCAAAAATTCTATGAAAAGAAGAGAAGTAGCTAATAATACTTGGTGACCTTTTCCTTATTATTTTAGGTTAGAGCTGGCAGCCACCCTTTGATGTTTTGTAATAAAAGACGAAAACTTTCAACTTTGAAGCATGATGAACATTACTATACATTTACTACAATCACCCTACAGTCTGACTGACATAACATCACAAAAGACATCTAACATTTTTTACATTATCTCTTTGTGTGTTAAAACAGCTGGCTATGTTGAATATTTTCAGAATGCATTTAAACATTTGATAAACATATTAAGCCAAACAATACAAACAACATCAGTTACCTTTCTCTCTAATAACTCGACCAATCATTGGAAGCTATAACTGAAGGGGAAGGATGAGATCATCCATTATGCACCACAAAGATTTAACACCTTTGTCCTAGGAATGATCTGAAGGTGCTGAAAGAGGTGATTCTCTAGAAGGTAACCCTGGGTTTTCTTCAGGTGGAAAAACTGTGAGAGTACAAGCTCGAATGCCACCAAGTGACTCTGGAAGATCAAAAACTTTATGCCACTCATCCTTTTCTGGATCATATTTCTGGACAATTTCTACCATACAACGATTATTCCAAGAATATCCACCTACAACATAGATTTTATTTTCAAAGACAGCAACTCCAACATCACTTTGACCTCTTAACATAGCAGCAATTGGTGTCCACTGGTCAAGGGTTGGTGAATAGTATTCACAGCTCAGGACATCATCATAATCACTTGTTCCTCTGAAGTGATTGCCACCGATGACATAGAGCTTGTCTCCAACTGTGCACATGCAATGCAGACCCCTGACTGTAGTCATTGGAGCTTTCTGTGTCCATTTGTCTGTATCTGGGTCAAAACACATGAGCTCATTTTGGAAAGTGTCATGAGTAATTCCTCCTGAAATATACATCAAGCCTCCATATACTGTTCCTGCATGGCCGTAGTGGGGCTCACTCATTTTTGCAACATAGCTCCACTCATTCATTCTTGGATTGTAGCATTCTACTGTGGCCAGTTCACCAGCTGCACTTCGCCCACCAACAGCATACAAATGTCCTTTGAGGGCGCTCAAGTGGAAGAACGTGCGCTTTTCATTTAGTGATGCAACCTGCATCCATTTATTATACCGAGGGTCAAATCGGAAAACTGTATCAACAGCAGTTTTTCCTTTTGTATCGTAATTACTTTGACCACCAACTACATAGAGAAAGTTTCCAATGACAGCAATGCCATGCTGGTAACGAGGAGCATCCATGGGGGCTAAAGACCTCCACTCCTGTGACCTTTCGTCATACATCCGCAATTCTTTACTGACAACCAGCTGCTGCCTCAAAACTCCTCCTAAGGTGACCAAGTGTGTGGAGTCGGATCTGATGGCTGTTCTATCTGACTGCATCACCGGCTGCATGTATGGCATCATTTGGTAATTGCTAGCTTCCAGAAGCAAATTCACACAGGTGTTGTCTGTTCTCATGAAATCGACTGTCTGCACGTAATTGATGAGGTCCTGCGGTGTCATGAGTGGAAATCGAATATTCTTCATTAATTTTGCAGCATAGTCCATCCGAGGATCTTCCAGTCTTAGCCAGCGACAGGCGGCCTTGAACAGCTCAAGTTCAGTACAGTGCTTCAGACTATTACTGGAAAGCACAAAGGCCAGGCGTTCGAAGGGGAGTTTCAGGAACTCGCCAGTACTCAACAACGCAGTGAAATTCTTCAGGATGAAATTATTGACGTATTTGTCCACCTCTATGAGATTATAGGTGTTAGCTATTCGCCCCACCTCAACACAGTTATCCAAAGAGACTCCTGAAATAAGAAACACTTTGCAGAAGTCCAAAACAGGTAAAATCTGTAAAAAGCTGGCAGCTTCAAGGGTGTCCTGAAGGCTGTCCATATTAAGAGAAAGTTTTGCAGTGTAAATAAAGTCAATGATCTTCTTCAGACCAACCTTGTTCACGCCATGAAGCTTGATGCACATCAAGTCTTGTTCTTTCATCCCGCCGGTGAACATGGCCTTGAAATAATCGCTGGCCGACGCCATCATCGCCCGGTGCACGCGAAAGACCTCCTCGCCATCCCCGGGCACCAGAGTCACATCACAGAGCAGCCCTTCGACCCGAAGCTGATCAAAGCCTTGCAGGACCACCGCACTGTGCGTGTTGCTGGTAAAAATGCGTGTGG